TTATCACTTTTGTGAAACACACTAGCATGGGTATGGTGCTGACAAGCCTAGAAAAATCATTGGGCAAACCTGGATTCGAATCCACAATTGTAGATTTCTGGCGTGCCCAAGGGACACAACTCCGCACAGCGACTTGCGGTGACTTAGATGACTGGGCAAAACATACCCCCTACTGACTTGGTGTAAATGACCTGAGATTGAATCAGGGCAATTCTGGGATTTGGCCAACAATCAGCAGTTTCTGGGGTTAATCCTGAATAATCTCAGTGATCTGATTTAAACTCAACATCAGCATGAGTTAACACTTACCATCAGGCTGTCCGACCAGGATGACCAAGGAGTCCACAGTTCAGAGTGAAGGGAGAGATCGCTAATGTCAAATCAAGAGGCATATTTAAAAATCAAATGGAAAAAGTGATTCCTTTTCTGAAGAACAAATTTGTAGAACTTTTGATTTTGAACTCAGTGATGGCTCAAAATGGAGCCAAAGGAATACAGAGGTGCACTTACTTCAGTTGTTATTTATGTTCTTTTCTTTATTTGACATGGGCAATGCTCACTCTCTTTGTAATATCAGGGGAGAAAGAGGTTTAGTTTCTCGGTGTCATTTAAAAGTGGCCCTAAATGCAGGCTCATGTGATGAACCAAGGAGTCCACATTCCATTCAAAAGTGATGCTAAATGTCTTCACAGGATCGTAGGAGTCAACGCCCCACAGACCAAGTGATGCTTAAAGCCTGTACAGGATCGTAGGGGTCAACGACCCACAGACCAAGTGATGCTTAAACCCTGTACAGGATCGTATAGGTCAACGCCCCACAGACCAAGTGATGCTTCAAGCCTGGACATAGGGGTCAACTCACCACAGACCAAGTGATGTTTAATGTCTTCACAGGATCATAGAGGTCAATGCCCCACAGGCTAAGTGATGTTTAATGTCTTCACAGGATCGTAGGGGTCAACACCCCACAGACCAAGTGATGTTTAATGTCTTCACAGGATCGTAGGGGTCAACGCCCCACAGGCTAAGTGATGTTTAATGTCTTCACAGGATCGTAGGGGTCAACGCCCCACAGACCAAGTGATGTTTAATGTCTTCACAGGATCGTAGGGGTCAATGCTCCATAGGCCAAGTGATGCTAAAATGTCTTCACAGGAGCATAGGGATCAACCTACCACAGACTAAGTGATGCTTAAATGTCTTCAAGGGTCATAGGGTTCAACGCCCCACAGACCAAATGATGGTTAATGTCTTCAAAGAAACATAAGGGTCAACGCCCCACGGACCAAGTGATGATTAAAGACAGCACAGTATCATAGGGATCAACTCACAACAGACCAGGTGATGCTTAAAGCCTGCACAGGATCATAGGGGTCAACGCCCCACAGACTAAGTGATGCTTAAAGCCTGCACAGGATCATAGGGGTCAACGCCCCACAGACCAAGTGATGCTTAAATGTCTTCACAGGATCATAGGTGCCAACGCTCCATAGACCAAGTGATGCTAAAATGTCTTCACAGGATCATAGAGGTCAACGCCCCACAGACCAAGTGATGCTTAAATGTCTTCACAGGATCTTAGGGGCCAACGCTCCATAGACCAAGTGATGCTAAAATGTCTTCACAGGATCATAGAGGTCAACGCCCCACAGACCAAGTGGTGATTAAAGCCAGCACAGTATCATAGGGATCAACTCACAACAGACCAAGTGATGCCTAAGCTCTTCAACTTATAGATGGGTAGGAATACCTCTGCTCTGTGAGAGTCAGAGATCTTCTGTACAACATCTTAAGGTCTCTATGTGCCCTGTCTCTATCAGATCCTTTAGGCAAATGGAAGACAGTGTCACTGTCCTTGTTGAGGCCAAAGGCAAGACATGATCTCACAGTTAAACATTAGCACATCAACTATATCATTTCAAATCAATGACATCCACACATCACTGGCCTTGTAATGACCAAAGACAGAACTATCTACTCCATGTACTATGAATTGTTCTCTGATTATCTAGTGTGTAATATCTCCATTACATTGTCATAAACACTCTGGGCCCATCCTCCACCATAGCTTTGTTATGGGACATCATCTCAATTTATCACTTGCCTCATGACCGTAATTTGATTGGATGGCAAAATTTAGCATGTCATTCCAGCTGGTTTCAAAATGGTGCTTACAATGAGGCTGTGTTTAAAACACATCTGTGACATCATTCTGTTGTTAGAGCGCTCCATTATTTTTGAGGAATGGACAGTTGTTTGCAGTTTTTGAACGTGCTCACGATATGATCTTTATTGTGCAAATTACACAGCTCTTCAGAATGTTTTGTCAAAATGTAAAAGTAGGAATTCGTTTTTAGTAGAGGAATATCCTCTTAACTCTCCATTCCTTACAAAAAAATGGCCATTGGCTCCATTATTTCTAAGGAATGGACAGTCACTTGGACATTTACTTCTACACGGTGAATTGGGTCCAGGGTATTTATAACCATTGAACGGAGACATAATACTCTGTATAACCAAGGATGCATGGAATTGGAGGTCACCCATACAAAATATCATCATTAAGGAGACATAGACAGTCTTTATTGCAATTGGTGACAAAAATGGCTTGTCACAAAAACATGAAAACCTTAAAATAAGTAAGTAAATATCTGACCAAAAGACGAAGCAGGTTCCCCTAGGTTAATAGCTTCAGATGGAACTATTGTCCATCTGGCTAGACACCCCTCTATCTGATGATGAACCTGTTCACCTTCATCTAATGATAGACCTTGTCTACTTCAACATGACCTTCTGTGGCCGGACATGTTCCACTTACACATACACTTCTGCTGTCAGACCAACTGGTCTGACATGCACTTGATGGACGAATGTATTTTAACACTGTACAGAGGAACAAAACAGGTTCTTCTCTAATAAACAATCAGTGTCTCCATTTGTTGCTATGGTGATTTACATGTTTACATCACCATGGTTACCACTGAACTTCATGGAATGAATATCCATGTTCATTCCCATACTGCAATCAACCAAACACTATCTTCATATGCAACAAGTTCAATAAATCATAGTTCGAAACTAATCAATATACATACATATATACATAAATAATATACATAAATAACATAAATACATGTAAACATGATAAGTGAGTGTGTGAGTATGGTTTTAAGCCGCTTTTAGCAATATTCCAGCAATATCACGGCAGGCGACACCAGAAAAGGGCTTTACACATTGTACCCATGTCGGGGATTCGAACCCCGGGCTTCGGCGTGACGAGCGAACGCTTTAACCACTAGGTTACCCAACCGCCCCTATTAACATGATAAAGATACACATGCATCATGTTAGTAACAGTGGGTTTCAGCATCTAATTGGTTGGAATCAGAGATGTGATCATGAAAACCTTCATCTCAATAGAGTGTATACTTAAGAATCAGTTCGTCTGGTTAACACGGGTCCAATTTCACAACAGAATACAAACTGATAACATCACGAACATGTGGAGGGTATGACAACAGCCTATTTCTCAAACTGAGCCATACATGAGGTTCACTTCAGTCCATTTCCCCAGTGCTACAATGTGAAGAACTGCCTTGATTGATTGATTGATTTATTTATTTTATGGGTTTACCTGTTAAACCTGTGTGCCTTACATACCCACTAACCTGGGGAATTAAACCTGTATGCCTAACAAATCCACTAACTCGGGGTATGAAACCTGTATGACTGACAAACCCACTAACCTGGTGTATGAAACCTGTATGACTGAAAAACCCACTAACCCAGGGTATGAAACCTGTATGACTGACAAATCCACTTACCCGGGGTATGAAACCTGTATGACTGACAAACCCACTAACCTGGTGTATGAAACCTGTATGACTGAAAAACCCACTAACCAAGGGTATGAAACCTGTATGACCGACAACACTCTAACCTGGTGTATGAAACCTGTATGACTGACAAACCCACTAACCTGGGTAATGAAACCTGTATGACTGACAAACCCACTAACCTGGGGAATTAAACCTGTATGCCTAACAAATCCACTAACCCGGGGTATGAAACCTGTATGACTGACAAACCCACTAACCTGGGGAATGAAACCTGTACGACTGACAAACCCACTAACCTGGGAAATGAAACCTGTATGACTGACAAACCTGGTGTATGAAACCTGTATGACTGACAAACCCACTAACCTGGGGAATTAAACCTGTATGCCTAACAAACCCCCTAAACTGGTGTATGAAACCTGTATGACTGACAAACCCACTAACCTGGGGAATGAAACCTGTATGACTGACAAACCCACTAACCTGGGGAATTAAACCTGTATGCCTAACAAATCCACTAACTCGGGGTATGAAACCTGTATGACTGAAAAACCCACTAACCTTAGGTATGAAACCTGTATGACTGACAAACCCACTAACCTGGTGTATGAAACCTGTATGACTGAAAAACCCACTAACCTGGTGTATGAAACCTGTATGACTGACAAACCCACTAACCTTAGGAATGAAACCTGTATGACTGACAAACCCACTAATCTAGGGAATGAAACCTGTATGACTGACAAACCCACTAACCTGGGGAATTAAACCTGTATGCCTAACAAATCCACTAACCCGGGGTATGAAACCTGTATGACTGACAAACCCACTAACCTGGGGAATTAAACCTGTATGCCTAACAAATCCACTAACCCGGGGTATGAAACCTGTATGACTGACAAACCCATTAACCTGGTGTATGAAACCTGTATGACTGACAAACCCACTAACCTGGTGTATGAAACCTGTATGACTGACAAACTCACTAACCTGGGGATTTTAACCTGTGTGACTAACGAAACCACTAACAGAAAAATTATACCTGTATGAATAACAAACTCAGTACCCTAGGGAATTAAACCTGTGTGACTGACAAACCCACTAACCCTAAGCCCCTGTAATCTAGTGAGGAACTGGAAGTTTTTTGTTATGACACACTACCTTTTGTTCAGGGGTCTTCATTGCATATCCAGATCTGGCTCCTGAAATACAAGTTTTCACAAACTAAAAACAAACTGCAACCATACAGAATACAGAATAGGTTTCTATTTTAATTGGGTTATAACATTTTTCATTTGGTAACCAATATTATTTCACTCATCCATTACTCTATTGGGTTTTTAAGATTTAAAAAAAATGAAATAATGTTTTAGATGTATATAACTGTTCTAAATAAGTAGGCTTGACTCAGAAAGTACATAAGCTCATAATTGTGTTTCGAAAATTAGCTCCATTGTACGCATGCTGAGAAAGCTTTATTGGGTATTTACGCATGCTGTTTTTATACATTTATGTTTTTCCTTTAATGCATGCGTTTCTGTATGCAAGATAATTGAAAGTAATTGGGTTTTGAATAGTTTGGGGATTTTTTTACGCAAATGCGCAGCTTATCTGTAGCTCTGTGTTCCGCACTAGAACAAACTGTATGGTTGGCAGGTTAAGCCCCAAGTGCATTGATCACTACCCATGGTAGACAAGTTTACCCCAGGTCCTCCCAGGGGCATTGATCACTACTCATGGTAGCCACATTTACCCCAGGTCTTCCCAGGGGCATTGATCACTACCCATGGTAGACAAGTTTAGCCCAGGTCTTCCCAGGGGCATTGATCACTACCCATGGTAGACAAGTTTAGCCCAGGTCTTCCCAGGGGCATTGATCACTACCCATGGTAGCCAAGTTTACCCCAGGTCTTCCCAGGGGCATTGATCACTACCCATGGTAGACAAGTTTAGCCCAGGTCCTCCCAGGGGCATTGATCACTACCCATGGTAAACAAGTTTAGCCCAGGTCATCCCAAGGGCATTGATCACTACCCATCGTAGCCAAGTTTAGCCCAGGTCTTCCCAGGGGCATTGATCACTACCCATGGTAGACAAGTTTAGCCCAGGTCCTCCCAGGGGCATTGATCACTACCCATGGTAAACAAGTTTACCCCAGGTCATCCCAAGGGCATTGATCACTACCCATCGCAGCCAAGTTTACCCCAGGTCTTCCCAAGTGCATTGATCACTACCCATGGTTGCCAAGTTTAGCCCAGGTCTTCCCAAGTGCATTGATCACTACCCATGGTAGACAAGTTTAGCCTAGGTCTTCCCAAGTGCATTGATCACTACCCATGGTAGACAAGTTTACCCCAGGTCTTCCCAAGTGCATTGATCACTACCCATGGTTGCCAAGTTTAGCCCAGATCTTCCCAAGTGCATTGATCACTACCCATGGTAGACAAGTTTAGCCTAGGTCTTCCCAAGTGCATTGATCACTACCCATGGTAGACAAGTTTACCCCAGGTCTTCCCAAGTGCATTGATCACTACCCATGGTTGCCAAGTTTAGCCCAGGTCTTCCCAAGTGCATTGACCACTACCCATGGTTGCCAAGTTTAGCCCAGATCTTCCCAAGTGTATTGATCACTACCCATGGTAGACAAGTTTAGCCCAGATCTTCCCAAGTGCATTGATCACTACCCATGGTTGCCAAGTTTAGCCCAGATCTTCCCAAGTGCATTGATCACTACCCATGGTAGACAAGTTTACCCCAGGTCTTCCCAGGGGCATTGATCACTATCCAGGGTTGCCAAGTTTACCCCAGGTCTTCCCAAGTGCATTGATCCCTACCCATGGTAGACAAGTTTAGCCCAGGTCTTCCCAGGGGCATTGATCACTACCCAGGGTTGCCAAGTTTACCCCAGGTCTTCCCAAGTGCATTGATCACTACCCATGGTAGACAAGTTTACCCCAGGTCTTCCCAGGGGCATTGATCACTACCCATGCTTGCCAAGTTTACCCCAGGTCTTCCCAAGTGCATTGATCACTACCCATGGTTGCCAAGTTTAGCCTAGGTCTTCCCAAGTGCATTGATCGTTACCCATGCTCTACAGCCATTGTGGACATACAATACCCACTGAATATCATGACAAGCACAAGATGCCATTCTGATCCAGATTCACAATGCACACTATTATACTTACGCCGAGGCTGTGCCTGAAAAAATTAAATAAAACAGAACATTTAGTTGCACATACAAAAAATTAATAGCTGGACAACAAAAAAAGGAAAGTGACAATGTGAGTAAGTATATTGTGGTTCTGCAACTCTGTCGTTTACAACAATGGCTGCTAGTAAGTACACAAGGTTTATTATCTAGTTCTTACCCACAAATTATGATATTTTCCTTGTTTGTGCAAAAAGACCCTACACTTGATAAAATATATATTAATTTTAATGAAACTGCAAAGACAATGGGAAAGCTTTCAAGTGATGTCTTACATTACATCATGAGAAAGTAGGTGTACATTGTTCAGCAGTCTGGACCAGACAAACCAAAGGTTGATATAATGATCAACATCCTACACTGTCAGGTTTCTATAAAGTATGACATGCAATCAACCATGTGAACAACCTGACAGCCCGATCCATTCAGCTGCCTCTTACAACAAGCATAGGTTACAGGGGACTGAATGACCCACTATCCCTGAAGGGTTGCATAATGCCTGTATACGAAATGCAAGTTGCAGAATCATTCAACTTTAACATGACTGGGATTTACCTAGGATTCTAAACAAAGAGCCCTTGGCAAGCAAATTTCTAAAAATCATTATTTTCAAGTTCTTATTTTCCAAAATTCAGAGATAACATTGAATTTTAACACTGCAGAAATATGCAGTAAAATAAAATACAAGCGTATCAAATACGCAACGAACATTACAGATAAGCTACAAAAATAAAACTTGTGCGTATCATCAAAATATTGTGAAGTAACCCTGTGTATTCGATTAGCAAATCAGTAACTTATTTTGAAATTATAAATGGGCATTCCGTCAACCTTGCCAAACTCAAAGATGACAGTTACATTTGCCATCACACTTTCTTGTGGAAGTATTGTGGTATTTTTGAGTCCTATAAATCTCTCGAACCCACACGACACCAGTTTGCAGGGACTAGATGAATAGTGTTTTTAAATATTTAACTTAAATACCCACATGTGTAAAAACTAGTGGGTAACAGAAATTTGAATACCCAGATAGAATTACTGATACCCAATGATTTTAAAATGCATGGGTAAAATACCCACAACCCCAAAAGCTTATCTGGAGCTCTGACACTGCATTCAATGTCACCTTAGAAAGCCACAACACTAGTTATAAATGTAACACCATGAAATGGGTAATGTTTAATTCCAATCTGAGAATTTTTACTGACATTTCCTGCAGGTTTATGGCCAAATATCAGCCTCAAAGCAAGCATAAATTAATCCCTGCATGACTGTTGACTGTCATGATGTCTTCTAGTGGTTTTGCCAAATATAAACTCCACTCCTGATGAGTGAAATTATTCACATATCAATCTCAATTTGTGACTACTGCTAAAACTGTTACTGTAGATTACACTTTTCAAAAACACGATAAAGTTTGCTGATAAAATATGTTTTCAAATCTGTGTGTTCAATGTTTGAAGCAAACCTGTACCTCATTGTCCATGCGCTGTCTCTTGCCACCAAAGTCTCCTTGGAAGTCACCTCTTCGTTTCCCTGGTGACCCCCTCATGGCCCCCCTCCCTCCAGGGCCTGGGGTGAACCCTCCTCTGGGAGGCATGAAATCTCCTCTCCTTGGTCCCCTCATCATTGACCCTCCTCGCATTGGTCCGCCTCGCATAGGTCCCCCTTGCATCGTTCCGGATCGAGAGCCTCTATAAGGGCCACCACCTCTTTGACCACCCATAGGACCACCTGAATACGATCCATAATCTTCTTCAAAATAACCTCCGCCATATTCATTTTCATAGTACTGTTCACCAGCTTCATTGCCATAGTAATCTTTGCCGCCATATCCGCTTTCATATGTCTCACCACCATAACCAGTGTCAAGGCCAATCTTCTCACTGAGTTTATTTATTACATCTGACTGTTTCTTCAACAATTCTACCAACTCATTATTATTTTGTCCACTGAAGGACTGCTGACCACCCATCATTCCACTTTGACCTCCCATCATTCCACTTTGACCTCCCATACTCTGACCCATCATTCCACTTTGACCTCCCATCATTCCACTTTGACCTCCCATCATGCGACCTTGACCTCCTCTCATATCACTTTGACCTCCCATCATTCCACTTTGACCTCCCGTCATGCGACCTTGACCCGCTCTCATATCACTTTGACCTCCCCTCATACCACTTTGACCTTCCATCATTCTTTGACCTCCCGTCATTCCACTCTGACCTTCCCTCAAATGACCTTGGCCTCCCATTCCACTCTGACCCCCCATAATTCGACCTTGACCCCCCATATTCCTCTTCATGTTTCCCTGACTTCCCATTGTACTTCCACCTCCGAATCCCCCATCATCTTGACTGTAACCTCCACCGAAGTCAGGGTTCTCTTCCAGGTATCCTCCGACTGACCGCTGGACGTTCCTTCCTCCCACCTCATACTCCATGTTGCTGTCGTCATTCCACGCCCTATCATTTCCACTACTGAATCTGCCTTGCCCCTGACGATTGTACATTTTAATGCGTTTTAGTCTCTTTTATTAGATCTGAAAAAGACCAAGTAAACTATCAGGATGAGTACTACAAATTAAAACATATACAGCAACAAACTGCAACAAGAGACAATAAACAGTGTATCTGAGCGAGTATGGCTTTACGCCGCTTTTAGCAATATTCCAGCAATATTCCAGCAATATCACGGCGGGGGACACCACAAAAGGGCTTCACACATTGTACCCATGTCAGGAATCAAACCCGGGTCTTCGGCATGACGAGCGAACGCTTTAACCACTAGGCTACCCGACCGCCCCCATAAACAACGTATCACAATATGTATAGGTACATATTTTAAAAATATGGCGATTCTGTGAATGGCATGTTAGTTGTAACTCTAATTCTGCACATTACAAGAAAATATATACGATAATTTTTGCAATGAAAACATAATTACAGTAATGGCTATTTGGGATTTAACAGATTGTTAAAGTTCCTGTCATAGGGTGAGTGAGTGTAAGTGAGTTGGATTTAACGCCGCTTTTAACAGTATTCCAGTTACATCACGGCGTGTCAGCTTAATGTGTGAGGAAAGCCCAAAGTAGTGCAGGTCTCAGAAATTTACCATTTCGGTGAAATCCACGAGCACGGGTATGGTGCTGACAAACCTAGAAACATAATAGGGGCGAACCGGGATTCGAACCCACAATCATAGGTTTCTGGCGTGCCCAAGGTACACAACTCTGCACAGCGAATCGCGGTGCCTTAGAAGACTGGGCCACCTGTGCCCCTCCTGCCATAGGGACTGTATTCCATGCAGTCTAGCAATCAACCCCCGCTGTATTCCATGGTCTCAGAATATTTTGCAGAAATGTATCTTTCTTGCATAAAAATCTCATTTTGTGCAGTGCTCATGAAGAATTTTCATTTTTCTGCCTCAAAATTTGTCAAATACACTGCAGAATTTTCACATGTCTCACGTCTCCACAAATAATTATTTCATTTTAACGTGAAATTGACTTTCGTTATTGCTTGCCAAAAGTGCATGGCTAAATTTTAACATTAGTGATCTCGAGATTCGCTTCAATAAGCTATTCTAGCTGTGGATAGGTTTATCATAAAATGCCTGCCACAAGTCTAACAGGTGCAAAACTACGAGTGAGTGAGTTGGGTTTAATGCCGCTTTTAACAGTATTCCAGTTATATCACGACGTATCAGCTTAATGTGGGAGGAAAGCCCGAAGTGATGCAGGTCTCAAACATTTACCACTTCGTTGAAACCCACGAGCACGGGTATGGTGATGACAAACCTAGAAACATAATAGGGGCGAACCGGGATTCGAACCCACAATCATAGGTTTCTGGTGTGCCCAAGGTACGCAACTCTGCACAGCGAATCGCGGCGCCTTAGATGACTTGGCCACCCTTGCCCCCTGCAAAACTACGAAATTCACTAAAACTAAGCTTTGCGGATTTGTGTGCTGAATAATCAAAATTTGAGGGCAGAATGTACAAAAACTAACTGCAGAATTTGGGGTGTTTTTTTCCGCGGAACAGTGTTAGAAAAAAACGCCTGCCTGTGGCCCCCTGGCAAGTGGTTCTTGTGTCACCCATTTTTCAAATTTATATGGGTCCTTATGTCCTGCAGTAAATTTAAGCACCAATTTATTTGTCAGAATAAACTGCAGTTTCTTAAATGAGGGCTAAAAAAGTTTAGTCAGGGCCTGCAGCTTCTTAAGTCTGTAGGTCCTGATGGCAGCCTGGTATTGTTCATATTTTCGTCACTGCCGCAGAATGAAACAATCACATGTCTCAACAATTGCAAAAAATATCCCCATTCATAGCCTAGTCTGTTCAAGCACAGGGCCATGTAACTAATAATTAAAACAAATTCGGGTAGAATGTAGACCCTATCGTATTTAAACGGTATTGCCATCCATCACATTTCATTGTTCAAAGTCTACAGAGTTCAAGATCAAGCAGATCTAGATCATGTGGGCCATGTTATATTGTAGTTTGTATGTTTGTTTGTTGTTTAACGCCGCACTCAGCAACATTCCTGCTATATGACAGCGGTCTGTAAATAATCGAATCTGGACCAAACAATCCAGTGATTAACATCATGAGCATCGATCCACGCAATTGGGATACGATGACATGCATCAAGCAAGTCAGCGAGCCTGACCACTCGATCCGGTTAGTCGCATTTTACAAGCATAATCGCCTCTTATGGGTTGCTGAAGATCTTTTCTACCCTGGATCTTCACGTCCAATACACAGGACCATGTGACTAATAATAATAATAACAAACTTCGGCCCTGTGTCCCATATTTACAATCTTTAACATTTACCCGTTCCTACTAGCTTTGTGTTATTGTATTCTCTATAAAGCATACCTCCATGTAGTTACCATAAATTCGGTTGGCCCTATGCCAGACGAGTTGATCGGTAATAGAAAAAAAAAATGCTGACTAAAGACGTTGCCTCAAAGATCATCAAGCAGATGTTTCATTATAACCAAATTCCATGTAATGTAAATGTTAATTGTAGATTGAATGCTTCACGTGATAAACATTCCCACACAGACCTATTTTATTCACCAAGACCGGGACAGTGCAGTGGCTTCCAATGCGTACTATTAACCTCGATACAACTTACATGTCATGTATCACATAAAAGGCGTCTATTTGGCCTACTTTCTATATATCTGTTTCTATTATGCTTGAAAGGTTTAAGATATATACGCTATAGTAAAGGAATTCACAGCATGGATCGACTGTGGAAGTCACCACATGTTTGCCCTTGCCGCGGAATTCCAATAGGTGTTTTCCGTGTATTTATCGAAGCATGGGACTATGTAACTAATAATAATAACAAACAAACACGCAGGCGAGTCTCGATACGCGATCCTGTGATTGAAGATAGCAAAGGAATTAAAAGAAGACCAATCCTCTTTTTATATTTTTTAAAACGTTAAACGAATGGCCGTAATCACTTTTGATATGGACAATATGTTCATAACAACACCTTCCATCCGAGACGAATTTCCAACAGTGGGGTTGTGTAACCGGAATCAAGTTAAAACAGCACCGCGTCAAACTGTCATCAAAGTTGCCTGGCGAAAATGGAACCAGACTTCATTGACAAAAGCGACACGGTACACACAACAACTTAGAAACGGGTGTATAGAAATACATACTATATTTTAGGAGTCTTATAGTGTTGGGACGATCCGATATGTATCACGATACTTGTAAGTGCTCTTATCTGTGGTGTGGGGTGCAGGCTAAAACGGCACCTCAGCAAAACGTCACCGATTTCTCCGGCGAAAACGGCTACCATGTGTCGTGGTGTGTAAGCCATCTTTTAAGAGACAGGATGGCCAAATACCTGACACACTGAAGATTTACAGTTGGCAGTGTCAAGTATGGCGCAATGGATGAAAATATTTATGTTTTCACTAATAATTAGTGTTTGGTGTAGCATTTATTTAAAAATATGTTTAAGGTCAGAATTGATACTTTTGACTTATTGTGCGATTGTGATCGCTACTTGTTTCGAGAAGTACAAAATAGCGCTCAGCCGATGCATCGGTTTATCGTCCAACTACGACTATCTTACCACGTACTTCATATACAATCTCGTTAAAATCAGATCTTAGTTCTCGCTATCGCTTAGCTTTGTTAAGCGGCAGCGAGAACAAACATCTAATTTTAATGAGATTGACCTCATATATATTTCAGGCCACACTTTTTTTCTTGGACCGGCTGCTTTGCAGTACGGGCGGTGAGCCCGTGAAACGAAAAATAATAACTGTGTGGGCTCACGTAGACTAACATCTAGTCTCAGAAATGAACATATCGTACAGAAAAAAAAACCAGTTGTTAAGTTATCTTTATAAAAATATAGTAAAAGGGAGCCCAGTCTCTCTTCATTTTCAGATACTGCAGTAATCTAACTTGCCAAACATTATAGACTTGCATGGGCTGTATTTGATATATATTTGTATCAGGGTCTGTAAGACAGACTAGGGCTCACGGTTCACCGAACATTCTCAATATGCTTTTATTCCAGAAACTTTGTAATTTCGTACCGAACAAATGAAAAAAAACCGAACTGTGTCTATTATTATTTATTTAGACTTCACATTACAGGATAACGCCGTTCTTGGTGGAGTGGATAGAGCGTCCTTCCAAAAGACGTAGCCTTGCTCCAGGGCTGTGCTGAAAGAGAAGTACATGGATGTGTAGTACTTCTATCCTCCTAAAAGACAAGTCGAGATATGTGGACAGTACAATCTCTTATAGGGACTTGTTCTTATTATTTCCATAATCTAGAAGTTATCGTTTACAAATCAAGATGAATTTCGATACACATTGCTTTCAGAAAAGCCTTCGAATAATTATTCATTTTTTTTCTGTTTAACCCTTAATTCATGTCCCAGAATTATAAACTACGGAAATAAAGACCGCTTCATATCCTTAGACTCCCTGCCAGCACTGATCAAACACATCAGTCCATCTCGCGTTCATCAATTGAAATTAGTTGTCCCACGACCACTACCATATTGTTGTACTCTCTTGCACATACTGCTTCTAATTTCAAACACGTGATTATTATTATTATTTCTTACATGAATGATGTTTCATAAATACATACGTTGATTTAAATAAATAATATGAATATATGATAATTCGCGCTGTTTTGACATAATTGTATGTTTATTTAACTCTGCGCAAACTGGGCGTTAGACACAAGGCGTTCCAAGACAGGCCCCAGTTCATAATATGCAGAGAGTCGGAGAGTAATTGCGTGGGGAAAGGCAGGACGCAGAACACGCTTGCAGAGTTTTCACCGAATTTTTTAAAAATTGTCATATTTTGACCATTGTAAGTAGCTTTCAAAATGTGTATTGGCGAAATGGTGATATTGTATTTACTATGCTTCAGATAATCTCGTAATTGCGTATGTTTCTTGACATTTTTCACGAATTCCACAGGATTTGCAACGGAAGCCATTTTTATTTTCATGTTTTTGCATGCTCATTAGGCCGAACTGCATTCGTTTCCAAGAAACAGTTATCGTGAACTGTTTTAGTTTGATTTTCAGGTGTTTTATATTCGGTCCTGTAATATGGCGTTTTACTTTAACAATAAAAATTCATTCGTGGTTAATGTTCGCCGTAACAAAGAGGCGTGGACTGTTAGATCAAATCCTTCCGCCGTTTCGGTCGCATTCGAAAGTTATACAAGTCGATGGCTCATGTTTCAGCGTCTGATCAGGACATATTTCTCATTCCTGTGTCAGCCTTTCTTGTAAGGTAAAGCATGCTAGGCAGGTTCATGGTTTTGCTATTCGATTAAAGAGTTCATCAGTTTCAAACAAAGAATATTTTTTTAGTGACGTTGGTTATTGGCCTAAACAAGTCTTGTCTCATGTTCTTAGACCAGGGTGTTTAGAGTGTACAGGATTATTATTTAACCTCGTTTGGTAATATGATTTGTATTAAATAAGCATATTTAATGACTCTCCTCAGATGTATCCTCGCATTGTGCTTGAGACCCAAAGAAGTATTTGTCATTACATGTCTAATGACAACCGCAATGTACTAAAAATTAAGTCTTACCTTGGAACAAATTTGGTTACCCCTCTAAAATTCATATGCTGAAAAGGATTGAGCAGCAATGCATAGGAGATAAAGCCAATACTTCATCATTGCATAATTATCATCAGATCAAGCTTGAATACAATGTGCATGCCTGAAAAGGTCAGTTTTGAGGCGTGTTTTCATTTCTTTCATGTAGCTTAATTTTTAAAATAACTTCAGTGACGAGTGGTGAAGACTTTGTTGTCTTTTGTGAGTTTTGAAGCCTCTACTTTGATTTCGTCCTTAACATTAAACCTTAATTTCACCTCACTTTTTGAATTCGCTATTTTGAGCAGCATTGTAACATTGCATGCAGTACAACAACATTAAACTTTACCCTAAATGTAAATGTACCCTTTTCTGTTTTGTCCTATAGTCAGTGAAAGTGAAGTCCCCTTTCTAGAGCTGAAACATCAGGGTTTTTGAAGTTTTAGCAACTTATACTGAAGATCTGGGTCAAATGACCATCTAGATAAATGCCAGAATGGATATTTTTTCAATGTATCTTTGTAACTAGTTAAGACATGCTTCCTTGTTCATGTTGTTACTGGACAAGTTTTAGAAGTAATTTCAGTATTCCTGCTGGCTTTTTATACTGCCTGTCCAAGTGCATGGGGACGCGCACTCACATAATTACCAGTCCCAGCAAACATTTACCGTTAAACAGGAACACTGGACTTGGTCTTGTTCGCAAATGATTTCCCACCAGTAAGAATGATAAAAGCACTGGAAACCATGAAATTAATGCGAAAAATGTTGCTGTTAGTATAGTAGCTTGCACTAATAAAATGCTTTGTGAATCCTCACTGAAGCTTGTCGGACAGTCAAGACTAGTGCCACTAGTGCAAGATGGTTGATTTGTTCTTGTGCATTTCTTTGAAAGCCGACACAATGAGTTGATCCTGTCTGTTTGTGTTATTACTTACTTGCTCATCTGGACAGACTCAGAGAAAGACTGAAAATGTGGCACTGTGTACCAGTGATTGTTTTGCTGGCCGAGGCAAAATTATTTACCAGTCCCAATGATAATTTTTAATATTGTGACTGCTGTTTAAAATTCTATCACTAACATCAGCTGGGTGTACATTTAACAATGTTTAAGCTTACAGTAAACATGTTATTGAAAATCTTTAGTCTCATTTCAGAAAGAATGTCTTTACAGATATCCGAGATGCCACGTAACCGGGGCTACAGTGGAGATAACTCCTACACCAGCAGCTACAACTACGGCGACTCCTACACCACCAACAGTGGCAGTGCAGGCCGGTCCGGTGGGTCGCGTTATGGCAACGACTATGACTACACTGGGTATTACCAAGATTCTGGCTCATCAGGCTACGGTGGAATGTCAAACTTTGGTTCAACATCAACTAGCCTTGCAGGGATCGGCGGCTTTGGAAGTAGTAATTCAAACTTTGACAAGTTACAGGTGAAAATTATTAGATCATTTATGTGTTAAGATTTGATTTCCTGATTGAAAAGTGATAACCCAGAAATCCGTAATTACAGATTTAAGTTGTGATATCAGTAACACACAAGATCAATGAATAATCACTAAGTTATACTGAAACAGAATTAGGTTTACAATAAGAAAAGGTAATACAAAATGAGTCAAATCGTAGAAGCAGCATTAAGTAAGAGGCCCTATAGTAAATCATCAATGTCAATGCACTCACCAATGTCCAGTATTAAGTCAGTTGATCGTCCTGAAGGCTTCACACACCGTATATCGTTGTGTATAAGGCCAGTTTTTTGTACCTAAAATGAGGGGGTTAAGAAGGGGGGTCGTCTTATACACAGTCGAAGATCTCACATTTTTTTCCACTGGCGATGTCAACCGGCGTCCGATAGCCAGCCCAGCATTTGACAATAAAACTTTGCATTTCGTCCTAAATAACTGTTCCAATAACTATTTCCATACATAAACATGATTTGTAACTCTTTTCTGTGAATAAGGTTTAATAATTTCTGCAAATAAAGTTGAAATGACCCTCGCCTCGATGCAGATTGTCAAACCACCTAACACGGTAAAATAATCAACATCCGTGAGTAGAGAGCCGGAAGTACGGGTAAGCATTTGCATATTGCACATGTGACCTAACATGTAATAACCGGTGAAGCTGAAATCAATTCCCGATGTTTTTACAGTTGTATTAACAACTGTTGGAGACGCAGTGTACAAGTGATTGTGGAATAAACATGCTGAATGTGAAGCAAACATAAGCCTAGTTAGTTACAACATAGTTAATTGGCAATTAAATTACTCACCATTGTCTCTTATATGTTATTACTTCATAAATGAATTTTATTTTACGGGCACCAATTTGGTGTTGTACCGTGTAAACACAAAATGGCGAAGTGTGCTGGAGTTACACACGCGACCTATCATTGTAGAAAAAAACAACGCAAGCTAAACATATTTTTATTGCATATATAAGGTTTGTGTGCGCACTTGTGATGTGCTTCATTCCAGGTCGCCTTATACACGGAGTATAGGATTTTGGGTTGATTTTGAAGGCCTGTACAGGGGGGTCGCCTTATACACAGCGATATACGGTACTCTATTCTTGAATCCAGAAACTGTTGAAAGATGGCAGTAACCAGTGTTTTCGGATAGGTATCCAGTCCACACTGGGCAAATGGATAAGACATGAGGCAGGTTGTTAATACCTTGTATTGCCCTCTTCTTTCTCTTGTAGGCAGCGTAAGAAGTTATCACTAGTCCTATGGTCTTTCCCAAACTTGTTTCATGTCTTGACAAAATTAAACTGAGGTGGAAAGAGTTTTCCCCACAAGTTGGACGTTCGACTATTGCAAAACGACTGCCTGTTGTAAAATCAATCGATAAAATTCGGATGTTTCCATTGACTATCTTACAGACGTTTGGCGGTATGTTCAAGATAGCAGGAAATACATTTGATTGCACTCGGTTCTTTCCATACTTTCATGGAATATCAAAAATGGAAGTGGTTATTCGTGTTGACTGTTAAACACCTGGCAGACGATCGCAATTTGTCAAAGTGGATGTCTAAAAAGAAAAAACTCTATTATTTGTTTCTATTATTTCTTCTCATGAAGTTACTGCAGACAACGAGCAATGAAAACAGACTATATCGCCGAGTGCTAGTGCTAGCATTGAAATTTTTAAAATTTTAGGCGGACAGGTGTGATAGAACAGATGAACCAATGCCAAAATCATCTAAATGTAAATCAACACATGGTTTTCCCAGTGACTGGTGTCTCCCAAAGTACAAATTTTGATTAATGTGGCTTAAATAAAAAAAAAATGCAGCAAAAAATCAACAAGTATGCTCAACCAGTAACTCTCTGTACTAAACAACTAATATTAAACATATGTCATTAATAATGATCTAATGATATCCTGCGGTTTTTATGATTACTGGTTAATATAGACAAAGCACACCTAAATAGAAAATGGCACACATGAAAAACAGCTCCAGTGCTATTGGGCACATTTGAATTCTCCCCAATTTTATGCCCTGTACACATTTTAAAAAAAATAACGAACACTTACAGTATGTCAAAGTATAACACACAGCGTAATTACCCAATGTATCCTTTTCAACTTTAGCATGTTTTGTACCCGTGTTTCTTTACAGATCTTTATTTACTGATCAATGCAGGCATCACACATTCAGTCTAGCTTCTAGATTACTGTTAATTGGACATCTGTCGCTTGTTAGTTTGACATGTCGCACACTTGGGGCATACCATGAACAGATACAAATTTGAAGTCACCACTTACAGCATTTTTAGCCGAATAATTTGATATTTTCTTCTAAAAATGCCCCTAGACAAGACCCAAGGGTGTTGAAATATGTTGAATACCTAATGTAAATAAATACTTGTGAGTAAATACTCAGTGGCTCAAAAAATTGTCTGGAGCTCTGGTTATACGATAATGTCTATTTCTTTCAGGAACAACTAAATCTGAGAGAATCTCAGTTGGCAATGGCAAGCAATCTGCTACAACAGCAGAGTCGACTGATCGCTGATGTCCAGTTGAACGTACCTGAGCAAGGCAGGGATAGGAGGAACTACGGGCAGGATAGAAAGAGATCGGGATCTGATTATCGAATGGATAATAAGCGCCGGAGAAGAGATTCGGATGTATGTATGCTTGAACTTTAGTTACATCTAACAAGGCTTCAGTCACCTGGTATTTCTAGCTACAGGGATAGCCAAACAACCTCTCTGATTTTATAATGGTTTAAGTGAAGTTTGTTGGTATCCAACATTATCTAATGTGTCTTTGCAGTTTTTTGGGGTAGGTCTGGAGTACTCTAGATTTTTCTGGTGATCAATAATTGGTTATGTAAAGTAGGTAAATACCCAGTCTGATGTTTGACAACATTGTTTGACGCCAGAAGATTATCTTCATGAGGCAAGAGCGTTAACTGACTATAAAAGTCCAAGTTCCACCCTTGCCGATTTAGGCTGCAAATATGGAGTTATATTTTGGCTGGACTAATGAGACTGCATAGTCCATTCAATATCGCATAACGAAATTGACATCCGGTTCGTAAACAACACGGATTCAACAAGCAGATTTCAGTCGACTGCAGGATTTGCATAAGATGTGTACTGTCAACTTGGCTTCGACAGATATTTGCGAAATCTATTCTAGTTTTTAAACAAGATGTTCTAGTGATTTGATGCACTTCGCGAGGTAAGACCCAATTATTACAATTTATGTCTTGGTCATCGATCAGATTGTCTTGACTGGGCACCACCATGTTTGTTTGAGGCAAATACAAGTGATATGAGAGGTGGAATCAGATGGGTCAGTAGGAGAGGCAAAGAAGGGACATAACTCATAATAAGTCAATGGTGGCGCTAAGATCGAAATTCCATCCTAGTTTGTTAAGGGTGGAAAACTGACCTTTTACAGTCAGTTAACTCCCTTGCCTCAGGGAGATGCCAGAAGATTGGCCTGGGAACTTGTCAAATAAGAAATAGCTGGAGGAAATTTCAGAAGCATTTTAACCCTTTGTTAGGAGGGCCACGGGAAACATGAAGAATTTTATGCAAAAATGCATCTTACTGATGCAGGAGTGTCCACTAGCCTATCAGGCTGACCCATAACGATCTGGATTAGAATTGACTTTCAGCAACCCATGCTAGTTGTAAGAGGCAACTGGCGGAATTGGGTGGTCAGGCTTGCTGACTTGGTTGATGCATGTCACCGTATCCCAATTGTATAGATCAATCACTGGATCGCCATGTCCAGACTTGATTATTTACAGATCGCCATCATATCGCTTGAATATTGCTGAGTGCGACAATAAACAACAAACAAAAGCAGTTTCAAATGGCGAGCTCCAAGTAACACTGCGCACAAACACCCATGTTCGAATCTTTTAAGGGTTTCCTTGTACCAAATCCGTCAAATGTAGGCACAACTTGCAGGGTATCGCCGCAACAAAATTGGCGTGTGTCAGGGTGTCCAAGTCTGTTCTAAGCCCATTTCTGACCTCGAACATGTGCGAATCCTCAAATGGTTTCCTTGTACCAACTCCGCCAAAAGATGGTCATCTTTTGCAGGACATCATCGCTACGAAATTGGCATGTTCCAGGGGTGTCCCAAATATTAATCAAATATCACCATCAAGTGGTGTTACTTTTAGCATGCAACCAAGGACAAAAATACGGTACATCTGTAAGACTAACTTCATGTAAACTTGCAATGGTTTCTGTTGAGAACCTTACAAGATATGATCTTTAAAGTAAAATTTCGGTGAAAACAAGTATCAAAATCAAAATCCAATATGGCTGCAACTAAAAAAGCTATCTAAAATCGGCTAACAAGGTTTGATGTGTTATGTATGGAGACAAGTCTCAGAAAGTTTGAAAACATTTCATTCAGTGGATTAAGAGATGTGATTTGAAGACATGTACCCCAATACACTGAAAACCTTAAATCTAATATTACTGCCAAACCAAGTGACTAATGACAAGTGACTGAACATAAATGTCAAGCACCTAAAGCAGAAGACACAGGCCAATTTTGAAAGTAATCGGACAAGCTGTTGCTGAGAAATAGGGCAAAATATAACTTCAAGAATTAATTGTTTTTTAGTTATCTGCCTTTAGTCGTTTGGCCTACGGCCTTGGGATTTTTGTGGTATCTAGAGCTCCACTGTCTTCATGCACATTAAAAATTTGAACGCAATCAAGCTACTGGTTGCTTTGCTAGCTCTGGTACAAAAATTGGCGGAATAATAATAAACAATAGGGCTGGCTCTAGCCTTTCGGCTTGGAGCCCTAATTTTCAAGCAGATTACCTGGTTGATGAGATAACAAATTGATTTGAGATTTCATCTGTCAAACAAAATGACAGATTACCACAGTAATAATACTTATAACTGCCAAATTTTGGTCTTACAATAATATAGCCTCAAAGACTATACACAGCATCAAGTAACACTGCACATTGCAGTAACATGAACTGCTGACTAAAAGTGACTATGGGTCATCTTGAAATAACACTGCATCTCAGTCACTGTGAAAAGCATTCAGCTCGATTTAAAATACAATGAAGTTTGAATTCAAATATATATAAAGACTTGGGCTAGTACTTTAAAAAAATGGAATGACTTTGAAAACATTCATCTTCTCTTAATTGTTGGAATAATTTCAGTGCAAACTCGTCAGGCTATGGCAATAGAATCGGTCATGTTTAGATGTTTTGATTTTGTAACATTCTGATTGGGCTAAAGATGTGTGCGATAGTCCTCTCCAAAGAGTCTGTTGTAGCCCAGATTCTTGGCTTACATGGGCAAGGTTGAAAACTAGGCTTTGATATAGGTTAGTGGACACTCAATATCAGAGATATACGTGACACCATTCAAATTAAGTGCGTCCAGGATATTACATGACACAATAAATGAAGGAATTGAAAATGTTCTGCAGATAATTCTGTTTTAAGAGGTAACAAAATGTTAATTGTTAATGAGCATGCTAAAATTCATCAATTTTTATTAGAATGATGTTTAGTTAACATATCAAAGCACATTTCTGGGCACTGTTGAGTTGTCTTCTAACTTCTTTTCAATGAAATGTGATGATCGTCTTCAATATGTGTTGCATTTATATCATGCCTAATGTCTGTTTTTCAGGGTTTATTATTTTCAGCAAGTACATTGCTATGTTAAGGATCTATTTTATTGAATAATGTTTCGAAGTTGATAAAAAACAGTGTTCCAACACCACCAAGATTTATGACAAAACCTTTGTGAAAATTGCAAACTGTAAACATTTGTCCTCTATGGATAAATTCAACTGGTACTAACACTTATTAATGATGCAGGGAGTCTTTGTAATTCATAGAACAGAAACAGATTTTTTTTCTCTGGAGGTTTTAACCCACAAACAAATTTTTGAGACGTCCATAGATACATTGCACATGTCATAGAGCAGCACTGTCCGTGGAGGCCTCAGCACATGCAGATTGCTTTCAGACAGGCCATGCACTTCCCATTCAGACATGCCAGTTTGTGAGAATACTTTAATCCAGTCTTTCCAGATTGTCAGGGAAAAAGGTCTTCACGACGAAGCCTCAATCTGGCTGACTCCATACATGGAGCTCATTTGTTGGACGGCTAATGATTTCAGTCATATGGAGACGATAGAAGAGACCGTGGTTATGGTGGTCGACAAGGCGGCGGTCCAAGATATCAAGGAGGCCGTCAAGGAATGCAGCAAGGTCGCCAAGGATACAGACAAGGCGCAGCCCGAGGGGGCTTTAGCCCAGGAAGGAGAGACAGGCGTGGTGGCGCTAACAGGCAGGGTGGCAATGGAACTAGAGGAGCAGGAGAACGCAGAAATTCTCAAGGTGATTGCTTCTTGGCAGCCTACGGAAGAGCCCTGGCCGTTGCAACCGTTTTGGAGAGCCTGATCTCTGCCCCCTTTTTCGGGCTGTTTGGTTTGTGATCTGTGGTACTGGTAATGCTTGCAGCTCAGAACCAGCACAAGGCAGCACTTGCCTCTTGGAGGAAATGAGGGTTACCTTATTGTCCCTGATATGCCTGAATCATTGAAGTTTGAATATTAATGTGGTAGAAAGGGATGTTCCTTGGCATCATTGTAATGTTTGCAGAGAAATGAATACCGAAATGAAACGTCCAAAAGCTGCGATGTATGAGAATGCAGTTGTTTTATCAGCATGAATATGTAAAGCTAAACACTCTCGCTCACAAAATGGAAAGGCTATATCCCCATTTGTGCGTTATGAGGTGTATCAGTGGTTTTTACCCTATTAGGAGATCCCAGGAATTCAACTTATGCCACGCCTGGGAAATGTTCCCACATTGCCCCTCACCCAATGTCGTACAGCTTGCCAACTTGTGCTGTATGTGACCAGTAGCTGTTTCATTCTCGTTGTCCCCTTCTAGTGTTAGTGCACCAGTGAACAAGGATTCCTACCCACTATGGTGTATTCAAAATGGACAAGTGAACTGAATCTGGACTTGCCAGAGAAAGTAGAAAATTCAAAATTCTGTCCCTGCATTACTGGGCATTTATGTTTCAGTATTCTCTACTGAACACTGCTATTTTGAATGCCATTCCACAGAAACAGTTTCCCTGAACTGATTTTGATCTGAGTCAGATTTGAACAGGGATATTGTTCTGTTGTCTCCATAATTTCCATAAACCTGCCCAATGTGCAGTCTTAAACTACTTCTGAAAACGTTATACAAAGCTAAGGCCTTGTTGCGATGCACAACATATTTGTTACAAGTCAGATTGGACACATTGAAAATTGAAATACGTTTACACTGCTGGAGAATATTTGTCACGTCCATTTTGCTACTTTACACACAAAATCTTTGCTTGATCATGTTTTTTTGTGTTTTTTCTTTTTCATTTTTAAATATTGGTTCACATATTTCATAAGGAATCAATGTTTGTGGAAATTGAAAATACATTTTTTGTTCTATTTTGATTCGCAGGTAAGTTTCCTTAAACAGAAAAGTTTCATTCTTCGTCTGTCTCAGCATGTTAAATTTTGTCTATGTTGTCAGACTTCTAGTTTCTCCAGTTGATAAATGACAGACATCAGAAGTCAGAGTGTTATTACTTTGTGATAAGACAAAGGTTCATCTTTGCACACTGCTAATACTGATACAGTACACTCATCTGGTTACTTGAGAACTGTACTTTAAAATTTGATACATTATGAACAATTTGGGGATGTATTATTAAAAAAAATACCACTTTGTCTTACTTAATACTATCAATGTAAAACCTATTTGATTTCTGATTTCAATCAAAAGGATAATCTTGACAATTCTTAGCTCATGAATTCTTTAGAAGGAAGTAAGTTCAAAATTAACTATCACCTTTGGTGACTCATCTTCCAAGGTGGAAGTAACAGACGTTGGGTAATAATGCCTGTGATACTGCATGCAGCTCTGTCTGAGCTGTGTGTTCGCTGCAGCAAGAGGTGCTGACCACCATGTGACCTTGTAATACATCTTGGTGTTATAGGCGACAACAGGAGGAAGAGGGGAGAACAGCTGAGGAAGCCCAAAATAGTGCCAAGAGTAAGTTACACACATAGACATAACCGTAATGCAAAATATCCCTGTGGCGATAATCCTATGCTTGTTGTAAGGCAACAACATGGAATTTGTGGTTGCTCACGCTGTCCATCACTGGTTTGTAAGGTCCAATGTAATGGTCCAAGAGTCAAATTTACAGGTTGTCATCCTATGTATGTATATTAATATAATTAACATTCCTGTGGGAATAGGAACTCAGAACGGTGTTTGTCTTAAAAGCTGGCTGATGAGAAGGATCAGGTGGTCAGAATGTGGGACCCCTCCATGTCAGCATGCTTAATGGCATGGCTTGCTGCTGATGCTGTTGGCCGCTTGAGTGGCCTTGACTCGGCTACTTGCATCCCAGTGTGAGCTAATTGCATGGCTCAATGCTGATGATGTTAATTACGGGATTGTCGGGTTCAAATTGGTCATGTTGGGTTAAACATTTTAACTGTCCATCTGTAATTTTAGAGTAAGTATATTTGTGTGCTTATACCATGAAAAATCAAAACATGTAATTTTAAGTCTTTTAGATGCTTGAATTAGACCGCTGGAAAAGACTATTTAAGCTGATTGGTAAAGGCCCCGACATTTTAAGTTTTCAACTTATAAAGGTGTTGAGCTTTTGCCAGTTGTTTGTGTGTTGAAAATTGGTCCTTGGGCACAAGACAGTCAAAATTCGGCATTTATTTGAGCTCCATCCCAATATCTTTCCCTCTGTAGATTTTTGCTGAAATACATAATGATTAATAATCTTTTGAAAGACATTAACAATTTAGTTGCATGGACCCCTTTATTTCTACTAGTAATTACATGAACATTTTGTTTGTCATCTCAGGTGAGCAAGGAGTTGTCTCGTCACTACTGTCATATCTGTGAAGTGGAATGTTTCAATGAGAGGGTAAGCAGAAACAGGGAGATACATATAACTTCAACATATTTGTCTGATGTCACATCTATTTCAGTTGCAATCCTGTTGTTTTGATTCTTACAAGTTTTAAAGACACTTTCAATACTACAAATCAGACAAATTTATTCCTGAGCTTTAAAACTATTAGTTAGTATTAAATACTGTTTGCACACTAGGCCTCAGTGAAGCAAGAACTGCAGCTCCAAAGCAGAAACATAGGAATGCATGAATTATCCCCCTTTCAACTCTCTTGAATGATTGTATTAGATTTTCAGTGGTTTATGGTGTTTTGAATTTACATACTTACCTTGTACATTTTTTGCAGAACTACCAGAACCATCTGTCCGGAACCCGCCACAAGGAGAAGGCAGATGAGCTTGAAGAGAACCCTACTAGGAAGGCTGAGGTTGAGGCAAGAATTGCCAAACAAGAAGAAGAGAGAGCTAAACCTTTGCCAGAAAAAGAGGCGTGAGTAGACTTCAAATTGTCAAATAAATCCTTTGGGAGTTTTCTCACAAATAGGGTCTGTAGGTAGAATAGATCCTCAGAAATGTTGTAAGAGAGAAGTTAAATGGTTATGTGCGACTTGGATAACTTGAAAACTGTTCAATGTTTTTAAATAAAACCTTGTAATATGCATTGCTCATCAGGTTTACTGGTCTTGCTATTTTGTAATTTGTCAATGTTGTATTTTGTAATGTTTCCATGGAAACAATTTAAACTTAGTGTCAAACGATGGTAGGGTTTGTTTCCAGGCCATATCTTGAGCATCTCCTTTTATGAGTAAGAACACATTCTTGTTGTATTTGCAACTCATCGTTTTTTCTTAACAATAAACCACTGTGCTATGGCTATTATCTTAGTAATATTGACGTTAGCTCACACATTCATTTGCTGTGCTAAAGAAGATTTTTGTTATTTTTCTTCACTACAACTTGGCTGTTATGAGCCATGTTTACTGGCCTGACTGAAACTCAACTAGTGTTACCATGAGGCCCAACATGTTGTGGATTGTTTGTGAAGGAGTAATGGAATCATGCAGTCTCTCAGTTATCAATTGCATTTTCCATTGTGGTTATGCTGTTGGAAAAACTGCAGAAATCTATACTATTTTAATATGTGTTATATCTTGTTGCAATTTTTACAGGACTGACCACTGTGACATCTGTGACCTTGACATTCATGTTAGTCTGGCAAGTCACCTGAAGTTTAAGCAGCATAGAGTATGTATTACATTTTTTGTCCATTCAGTGTCCATAACAAGGGCTTCACAGCTGTTGTTATTAACTGGAACAAATGATTCACACTTGGCTCAAAACATACTGATTACTTTTACTTTGAAACTTGACTAAAATAGTGCTTGGAGTACTGGAAACATGGTAAAAATGACAATGTGCTATTACTTTATAATGATGATTTACAAATGATGAATCATTGCTTGAAGACTAACCTTATTGTTGGTTGAAAATGTTTATTTAGGTCAAGTTGTGTTTAAGATGTTTTGGCAGTAATTTCATAACAGGCTATTGGTTTAGGTAAGTCTGAGTTATTTTTAGATGTAACAGATGTGTTCAATGTATTTTCAGCACCGAGAGACGCAGGTGAAGAGAGGTTGCTCGTGGTGTAACGTAGGGGGCTTCTCCAACTTCTCTGAAGTCCTGGCTCACAGACTGACAGACCTCCACAAGGAGGTAAGAAACATGCATGTGTCCATCTTAGCAGTACTGCATGCTCATGTGTATGATTTGCGTGTGCAGTCTGTTTCAAGTCCCCTGGGTTAGAATAGGCCACCTATTTCTTCTCATGAGAGGTGACTAAAATGGATCTGATAGGCTGGCCCACTGACTGTTTAATGTATCATCATAATCCATAACTATATAGAGTGCACGGATGGCACAGAAGTCTAAGACTCAACAATTCTCTGTGCTGAGTTGCGTCTTTTGGGCACACAAGATACCTATTTCTTGGCATCAAGGGGCGGTCGGGTAGCCTAGTGGTTAAAGCGTTAGCTCGTCACGCCGAAGACCCGGGTTCGATTCCCGACATGGGTATAATGTGTGAAGCCCATTTCTGGTGTCCCCCGCCGTGATATTGCTGGCATATTGCTAAAAGCGGCGTAAAACCTCTCACTCACTCACTCACTCACTCACTCACTCACTCTTGGCATCAAATCCCATTTTGCCCTGATTGTTCCTAGTTTTGTCGGCACCATACCATGCTCCTGAGTTTAACCAATACGGTAAATGTCTGAGGCATGCATCACTTCAGGCTTTCTTTCCACAGCGAGCTGACACACTGTAGAGTACTGTTCAAAGCTCTGTTAAAACCAACTTCCTTTTGGTGGTCAGGTTGGCTTCTGAATTGTCATCAGAGTCAAAATTGCATGTGTTTTGTAGCTACAAGAAAATGAGCTATTGCTATTACTTAACACCACCACAAATAGAAAGATTTCAAAGAAAATTATGTTTGATCCTTTTTGATAAATTGTGTTTGTCTTAAATATGAACATTTTCTAAGGAACGGAAGTCTTAAACAGACATGGTTTCATTCAGACATGTTGCTATTGCAAAGTTTCCTGTCAAAAGAGTATGGTAAAATGTCATTTTAGAGTGTTGTTTCGTCAGTTTAACATTTTCACAACAGCTAGGTGATTCCTTTCTCTTTGATTTGTTATAGATGCGTGAGCAGTTTGGTGGGAGACTTCGCCCAGATGTTATCCCCAAACCTGAATACGTTGAAGTGGTAAGTGGGCTCTTTAAGAAATTTCAATAAGTAAGATCTCTTGGTTAGATAACTCTTTATAAAGATCTTAGAAACCACCCGGATCAGGTCGGGTGATAACTGAACTTTCTTATTGCTGTATTTCCATCCAGAATTATGAATTTTCACTGGTGCTAGTGACTGGGAAAATTGTTAAGTCTGTGGAAAACCTGATGATACCACATCATTCTCTCACTTCAGATACATGAACAAATTTGTTTGTTTTGTTTTATATACTGAACATGTCAAGTACAAAATAATAAAAAATATTCTCATTTTCACAGGAGGAAATTCCCGAATTTGTGGCCGATACCCCCATGGGTAGGTTTCAATGATATTTATTTCATAACTTAAAGTGTGCTATCAAAGTTTTGTGTGACGTGCATTAAAGGTCACCAGTAGCTGTACTTTGGGTGGGTTTTGATAATAAAAAGCATCAGGTGAATGCAATGTGTTACCTAGTTACCCCACATCATTGCTTATACTCCCCAGCAACCTTTGCTGGTCGTAAGAGGCAACTTACTGCTGTCATTATTGCTGTGGCTGGTATTAAACGACAAAAAATGCAGGTCTGCAACTTTCAAGACTTTCAAGCTAGTTATATTTGAGTCATTAGTTATCAGGCACTGAATGATGCATGTAACTCATATTTTGACCATGCGGCTAACTGAGCCCACACTTTGTTGTTACAGGAAAGGACTATGTGGTACCAGTGACTGGGTTCTTCTGCAAGCTGTGTAATAAGTTCTACAAGAAGGAGGAAGCGGCCAAGCAGAACCACTGCTCCTCTGAGGCTCACTATGAAAAATGGAAGGTATGTTGAAATGTTGAAGTATCCATTGTTTACAATTTTGAGTCTTAGTTCCCAGTGGTGATATTGGTAAGAAAAGATCCCAAACACCTATTCTTGTCAAAACGGCTGGCTAAAACAGGGATCTGATTTTCACAAATATTGACCTATCTGTTTATCAAAATAACCTGATGTGGGGCATTGCCCCTAACATCAACCACTGGTTCTCTGGCCCAGGATTGACTATTTACAGGTTGCTATGATAAGGTGGAAAACTGCAATTTTAAACAATATTCATATGTCAAATTATATCTGTTTACAGCAAGCCAAGATTGATGCCGTCACTGAGTATCAGACCAAGCTTGCAGAACAAAAGGAGAGAGAGGTAGCTGCCAAGAAGAAAATTGAGGAACTCGCAAAGAAGAAAGAGGAAGAGGCAAAAGCAAAGGAAGACGAGAACAATGATGGCGAGGTGAAAGATGAGAAGATGGACACTGACGGAGAGACACCAGCGACAGAGGAGAACCAAGAGGAGACCGACCAGGTCAAGTCTGAAACCGAACAGATGGAAACTGTCCAGGATACTGAAGCCACTGAAGAAGAACAGCTGAAAGGAGATGAGGAAGCTGTTCCTTTGGAGGAAGGTGATGAAGAGAAGCTTCTCTCTAAGGATCCTACTGGGGATGAGGCTGAAGGGGAGGGGGAGGTTGAGGAGTGGGTCGGAGAAGCAGAAGCTGAGGTGGAGGAAGAGGCTCAAACTCCCACCAGACGTGGGAGGCGAGGTGCAAGAGGAAGAGGCCGTGGACGTGGCAAAAAGTAAAGGGGAAGACGTCGCCTTTTTCTTTCATTTGCAAAGTCTAATTTCAGAAAAATTCTGTTTTAAATGGAATTTATTTCAATGCTTTTGAGTATTTAGGGGATTAATCATGTCTGTCATTGCTTATGAGCAGAATTGAGTCCTGTGCTACTCATTGTTGTGCAGCTCATTCATCACATTGGTTTTAAACTTGTACCAAATGTACTTTTCATGTTTATTGTTCATATTGCCCTACATTTATCAATGTTCTGTGACAAGTCAGAACATAGAAGCTTGGTGTCATATATGTCACAATGTTTTATGTTTTTTTAGAAAGTTTTGAAGTTAAGAGCTAATTTTATGGAGAACTATGTTTTATAGGGAATTGCTTTGTCCATCATTTCAGCTTTGTTGACTTGGTGCTTCTATTTTTTTGGGTTGGGGGGGGTGGGGAGTGTTCACCCTTATCAGACTGTTGTTTGAAGTTACTCGTATCGTCATGTTCGTCTGCTGTATGCAAATGAAGTTGTCATAAGCAGCCATTGTTGAACCAGATTGTAATCATGCAGTGTTCTAATGTGCCAGAAGAATGCCCTCAATAAGGACCTGAAAGAATTCATGGTACATTGATCATGTATTATGCAGTAACTACTCTAGGGCTTACAGTTTGATTGTGAAGTTGTTTGATGGCAAACATTGTTATCTGCCATGTACAAGGCTGCTTTTCTTTCATAGTTCATGATCTTGCCTGTTCTCATGATCCCATGCCTTTATTACATCACTGTTCATTTCATCATGATTGTATGGGCAAATGCTGTTCAAGTCTTAAAAGTGTTCTATTCTATGGCATGGTATCTATTTGGAGATTTGCACAATTTTCAAATATTGAATTGGAAACAATGAACATTGCTGACAATAAAATCATGTGTAAGTGAAAAAACTAATTGTGTTTGCTGAAAGTTATTTTTAGGCAACTGTTTCAAATGTTGCAAACTTCCTCTGCTGAGTTATTGTCACCTGGTGCATGTGGGGATTTGATATCTCCCCATCTCTCATATTTATTTAAGATCCTACTAAAGTTGAGTTGAGATTGTCAGTGTTTGCGACTGATTGCTTGTCATTGTTACCAATGTCTGGGATCGTTGTTCAGGCTCCGGTTACTAGTTGATAATTTACAGGCCACATCGATACAGCTTGTATTATCCAACTGTTGTTGGCATTTGACTGACTCCTTAAGCTTGAATTCATACTGAAACTACATTGGAGGTGGAGCCTGGATGGCTCTGTGGTCTGAAGATGCTGTAATTTCTCTACACTTACGTCATTTCATAATGTTATGGTCATCGAATCGTAGGTTTGAATCTCAGATACATCCTGATATGTCAGTACCATACCCATGCGTGGTAGATTAACCAATTTGAAAAGCATCTTGACCTGTCTTAAGGATTTCCTTCTAATATTAAGCTGACAGTGATATAACTGAAATACTGTTTAAACTTATTGTGATGGAATTGACATTGTCCGCCACTTTGGGATTCTAAAGCAGAATTGTTTCCAAGTTTCACAGGTCATGTCTAGAGTGGATGTTATTGCCAATTCTATGCACTTAATTTTATTTCCCAGCAGTATGAGAAAGTAATTAGATGCATACTTGTATAGATGAACAGTGTGTTGGTAAAGTACTTAGTGTTTTAATCCTGGTGAAACGACTAACAGGATCGGGTGGTTAGGCTCGCAGACTTGGTTGATGCATGTCATCATAATCCCAATTGCGTGGATCAATGCTCGTAATACCAATCATTGGATTGTCTCGTCCAGACTCGATTCTTAGCTCACAGGGTCCGAAGGACCAAGGTGAGCTTATGGTGGGGCGAAATAGGGGTAATTTGGCGTTATTCCTTTAAACAACTTCTTCTCTGGAACTAAGAGATTGCTTCCAACCAAATATAGTTGATATCTTTCTCCGGTGGTGAGGATTCAAAATTGTACAAATTTGTGGGGCTGAGGGTCGGGGCCAAATATGGGTAATTTGGCTATATTGCTTTGAGCAACTTCTTCTCTGGAACTAAGAGATAGATATGAACCATATATGGTTAGAAGCACTCTCTGGTGGTGAGAATTCAAAATTGTACAAATGGAAGGGCTAACTTAGCCCCTGGGTCAGTACTTTGAAACAGTATAGATCCCCACCTCATGTTGAGCCTGGACCTGTGAAGATCTTAGGCTTGGCGTAAGGGGCGACTAACAGGATTGGGTGGTCAGGCTTGCTGACTTGGTTGATGAATGTCATCGTATCGCAAATGCGTGGATCGATGCTCATGATGTCAATTGTCTTGTCCAGACTCAATTATTTACAGACCGCCGTCATATATGCTACTCAAAAGAAGTTAAGGATTACCTGATTCTTTCATATTACGAAAGTTAATCTCTCATGTCATGACAGATTAACTTAACCATTATGAAAGAATCGGGTGATCCTTTACTTCTTTTGAGTAGTATAGCTGTACTATTGTTGAGTGCGGCGTTAAACAACAAACAAGTGAAGTGAATTGAGCCTGGGGCCTACACCCCAAGGGAATATGTTCTTGGGTGAAAACTTGAAAACAGTTGAGATCCCCACCCTATAACCGTACACACGACTGTACATACATGTAATTGCTTAATTTAACAAGACAAATACTCATATGCTACCAGAACTGGAACTGTCCGGCACTCCAAAAAGGACTTAGAACCTTGACCATAACATATTGTCCCCACCCTATATTAAACAGAAACATTTTATAAATTTGTTTCTTATGAATAGAATAATATACTCAACAAAAGTTCCAGTGACCAATATTTTAGTGTATTTTTCAAACAAGTAAAGTTTGGTTTTCAATATTGTAGTACATGTATGGAATCAAGTCACAAAAACGCAAATGCTACAGAAAAGCATGCATTTTATGCAAGCCTTATGCATTTCACTACCCAAGAATTGGTATAAAAACGTGCGTTAACGGGATTCCATATGCATTGTTAAGCATCGTACTGACAACCACTCAGAAAAACAAGAAAATTACGCAGTTATTCAACATTACGAAATGCTACGCCATTTGGTGTTTATGGCAACGTTGGCAACAGACGAATGCAGTCAGAGACCATCCTCGGAGTGGCAGGCCACGCGTAACCTATAATCGACAAGACAACTGGATTCGAACAACACGCCTACGAAATCGATTCCAGCCAGCAACAGTGACTGCAAGAAGCATCCCTGGCCTTTGACGAATATCTTCACAAACCGTACGTTGTCGCCTCAGATGTGCAGGGATTGTCGCCAGAAGACCCGCCAGATGTCCCATTTTGACAGGAAACCACCGTCAAGCACGTCTACGGTGGTGCAGACAGCGTCTACGCTGGACGGCCATGCAGTGGGGACAAGTTCTATTCACTGGCGAGGCTCATTTTCACCTGAAATTTGGAAATTTTGGCATGTTCATGTTAGTTTTTTTATGAAATCACGCATTTTCTGAAGTCAGTATGGCAAATTAAACCATTTGAACACTGACAGGAGTCTTTTATCTTTTGCAAACCGAAATTGTTTCAGATTTGATAAAAAACAATTTTGCATTAAATCTTATTCAATGTCACAGGAACTTTTGTTGTTCAGTATACATTGTATACATTTGTTTGTTATGAAGAGAATAATACATATATGCCAATAGGATTTGGCCTGGAGTCTAGCCTTGAGCTGAAAACGTCCATCTATTACCCACTGTCTTCCTTAAAGAAATAAATAATACACTTGATTGAAGATTTAATCTTCCTGCTAAAGAGCTCAAATCTATAGTTTGCAATCGGAAGATTCATTCATTCATGAAAAATGAAAAAAATGTTAATCAGCTTTAGCCACAACGCTATGGAGGTGGTCCCCTTTCCCATGGATTGACTGAAGGAATCTTTTCGAAATTATATCTACTTAGACTAGTCTTTGGACCATCATATTCTGCCAACCTCCCCCGTTTTAATGTACATCACTTAACTCCCATATATTGACTGACCATACATGGTCGACAGCAATTAATAAATTGCATTATCCATATACCTGAGAGACCGGATTACCACAAGCACACACACCTGCATACACGTCGGTATAAACTTGAATGCGACGTTAAACCCCATTTCACCTCGCATCACCATTGCTATCTGATGACTAAGACTCTAGTTTCTGTCTTTAATAACACATCAAAAGAAAACTCCTCAGTACCCCAAGGAAAAGTGTCAGTTCAGTCTGGTCACAACCGGCAATATTTTCGTTAGAAGTATATACTCCATAACAATCCGTCATCATCCATGTACAATATAGAAACTATCCCCAAGGCATGATAGTTTTTGTTGCTAGTTAAGAGGGATATCTGTGCGTGTTTCACATTTATCAATAGATCACGCGGCCCAACCTTTCAAATATATATTGTTTCAAAGTTGATAATTATGAATGTATGCAGTTTTTCTTTACCTGTGCTAAATTGATGTCCATGGTCCGGAGAGCGGAAGATTGGTGGTGCGATTCCCTGGTCGCGTCATTAAAGATGGTACTTGTTACGACCCTACCGGCTCTGGGTCAATCTTAGTGGGTTATTCATGTTATACTGCGGTATGATGGGCTAAGCACTATAACACCGCGGCCATCCCTAGTAGGCGAATTAATGACGTTAAAACACACGTCACCTCGCCAACGATGTTAATAGGTTCTAGTTACAAAGCTCTGTATGCAGTAAACAGTCATGTTGAAAATAGAGGTGAGGTGGAATGGGGTTTAACGTCGCGTTCAAGATTATTGCACTTATATAGCGACGTGCATGTGTGTGTGGCTGCTTGTACTAGTCCGGACTGATGCCGATTTATAGTGCTAGCACACTGAGATACCATGCCGCAGTTTAACACGAATACCCCACTCAGACAAAGTATACTGACTCCGAGCCGACCAGTCCTTGTTTTAGCCCCTTCATGCGCAGCGCCAGACAGGGTAACAACAAGTTCCATCTTTTAACGTCTTTTGGTATGACGCGGCCGGGAATCGAACCCCGGACCTTCCGCTCTACTCCGGGCGGACGCTCTACCACTAGACCACGGAGGCGGTCTATTGAAAATAGAACTTTAGTTCACCCACACATCGTCAGTGTGAGCAAATGTTACTGGTCTACGTCCGTCGTCAGTCACCCATTTAGCAAGGAACTTCCCCTACTCAGGACATAGCAAACCTTAGTCTCAGAACATTTTCACCGAGTTTCCTACAAGCCCCAGTAGCCATTTCATAATGCAGCAGAACAGTTCAGTGAACCAATCTAACCCTCAGTAAAAATGTTATAGACAATGGGTGATAAAAAATTCCACCGCCCTTAGATGTCCATACAAGCAAGATACGACCGTCATGACTTGTTTGTTTGTTTGTTTCATTGTTGTTTTACGCCACACTCAGTAATATTCCAGCTATATGACAAATCGAGGCCGGACCAGACAATACAGTGATACTATGACAACAGACATCCTTTTACCAAGTCAGCCAGCCTGACCACCCGATCCCGTTAGACGCCTTTTTCGGCATGCATGGTTTGCATAAGAAATTCTAACCCGGGTCAAAGGTGTCAATACTTGCAGGATATTCACACAGCTAAAGGTAACATGAATTTAAAAAAAGAAACAATCGTAGATAAGGTTTTTTAAAGGACCAAAGTGTTCAAATTTTCAAAACTTAATATCCTCTGCATCAAAAGCACAGAAAGAGACGCCAAGTTAGTAAACAACACTTGGTTCACATGTGAGCATTAATATGCTTGATATTCGCAGTCACATTTCGCAGTCTCTATGACAAACATCAAACAGTTATGCCTGTGAAAAGTTTAACGCAGATGTAGACCGAATTTTGTCATTTTCTGACTTCAATATTAAATAACAAATGAAAAG